GAAAAGTGCAGTTCTAGGAACGGCAAATATAGGACCCTCGAGCTCCCAGGCTTCTAGTAGAGGACCTGAGCTTGGGGGAAAAAGGAGGAGAGATCCCCTTTGTGGTTTAGTATATGTATATTATATATATATATATATATATATATATATGTGTATAAATGTATATATACTGTATATATACATATACTAAACCACAGAGGAACAGATCTTTAGAAACTTGTCTTTATCAATAAAGTACTACAGGTTTATAGTGATAGAGTGATATTGAGCAATCCATAGATACGGTAGGTCAGAGGTCAGATTCAGTCCGTATTACTCTGATCATCTACGATTAGAAGTTTAAACAGAAAACAATCAAATGTCTCTTTTAAATTCCTATAAATAAATTGTAGTTTATCCTATAAATATTTTTACCAACTTTCTTCACTCTTGATACTTAAACTCAGATGAAGGATAAAGCGTTCAGGGACAGATTGTGAAAATACTGTAACCTTTTTGTTATATACAAATCTATCTGAATCAGGAACCCTTCAGCAAATTCCTTTGTGGGTTGTAGAATAAATAACTTGTAGATGGTCAAAATCAAAGCCTGGGAAAAAAAAAAACATGAAAAGAATACAATGTGTTTTGGACCGAAAAAGCATGATTGCTACATTTCGTTTGATTTTCATAGTTGCAGACATGAAAGTATGTTGCGGCTGAAGGAAGACCTAAATGTAGTGTAGTAGTCAAGGCAAAATAATATTTCTTTTAATGAGAAAATCAAAATGACCTTACAAAGAACTCAATGATGAATGCAGAACTCTACACCTATAAGTTGCTCTTATGCGAGTAATGAAAGACTACTGAATAGGGGGGAAAACATTTTCAGACAAGCTAAACAGTTACCTTCAATTTAAGCCTTTTAGGGGAGGCATGAGATCTATTATAGTGTAAAACTAGATGACCATATGACCTAGTCCTTAATGAATAAACTAAAAGGCAGCATGGGGGAACATAAACAATAAGGATAAACCAAGTAGCTAGATTACAAAGAAAACAACATATATTGTTGAAATGACCAAACTAAAAGAATAACACATAATTTGAAGAAACCAAATGATCCAAAAAAGAACCTGCTGAAGATACATGAAGCAAAAACAGAACCAAACACAAGGAAAACATGATAGAAAGTGTACCAGTGCAAAGTTCAACCCCTTTATGCATTTCCACATACGGCTGTCACAATACTATCTATTATCACCTTTTGGGTTGCCGTTTAGTCAGTGTAGGAGAAAGTAGACATTTTTAAATTAAATTAAGAAAAATCCTAATAAAAATCACAACAACCAGCTATGTTAAGCTTTTTATCTGCTTTCTGCTCCAGATTTCATTGCCTGTTCGTCTTTTCTCTTATCTATGCTGTTCCAAACTGTAAACCATTGTCACAGCCAGCATATTTGCTTGTTAGCAGACTGGTAAGGACAGATTTGGCTGCATGTAAGTCTATTATTTCACAATAAAAGCAATTGGTGAGAATCTGTCCAACCAAACCAGTTTTCACAATGAAACATTTTAATTGATGACGTATTTGGTTGCTCAAATATCAACTTTTCCAGAGTAACCTGGCATTTCACCATGTCTGAGTCAACAATTGTAGGAGTAGAGCAAGCAATTATTAATGGGAAATTCTCACAGAACAGGATTGAACTTAAAGCTTAGAATAATATTTTTTTTTTCATATCCACTGGCACAATGCATCAGGAAGAATATCAGTAACTCTTTCAAAGCCTTGTACCTTTGTGCCGGAAAGAAGGCCATGTCTGAACAAAGGCACAGAGCAGATACATGACTCCTTCCTACTTTGAACATGATCTCTTGGTCTCAGAAAAGTCTTCCCACGTCTTTGGATGGAGTAGATCTGTAGCACTAACAGACCATTCCCTTGATGTGTTTAGAAAAAAAACCACAAAGGAAGATACAGGAAGGTCCCTCTTTTGGGAAGACCTGCACTTGTAGAATAGACCAACATGGTACACCTTCCTTGGCATGTCAGTAAGATGAAGAAGGTGATGTATTTGCACATCAAGCAATTAGATATTAGAGGGTAG